ATCATGGGTATGTATGATATGCAAGTTTGGATATACACAGGCCACAGCACGAGTGTGGAGGCCAGAGAATGGCTTGTGGAGTTGACTCTCTCCTTCTACCTTTCCATAGGTTCCAAGGGTTGAATTCAAGTTATCAAGTGCTTTGCCTGCTGACCCAACTTGCTAGCAATGTATTTTTTAAAAATATCCTCAACATGTAGTTCGATAAATCTTAGGATACAAAATCCTCAGACATGGAGAAATGACTACATTTATCTTGGAATTAAAATTACTAATTTGAATATGTTTGCATGCTTCCTACCTTCCCCCAAAACACTGTGAGTGACACTGTATGACAGAACAAGACCACTCCCCCTACCTTTAAGAAAAGATACAGCTCAGTTGGCCTATCATGTATGAACTCCTAAATTCAATCTCTAATATCACACAGGTGTGTGCATACATGCATGTGTGCACACACACACACTCTATCTTCCCATGTCAGTTCCTATACTTTTGTGATAAGGTAAAAAGGCACTGGCCATGAGGAGCTGGCAAAACTGTAAGTTGATGTGCTAAATCAAGGCTCAAAAAAGAAAAGGAGAGGTCTTGAGTTTGCTAAGCTGGCAATGGAGGAAATGGTTAGGTAGCAGGGCCTTGGTGGAGACGGCAGAGAATGTGAAAAGAATTGAAGGAGAAAGCAGAGAGGGCTACTTGTGGGTATGAACTGAATCCTATGCACTGGACTTTTCAAAGACCCAGGTACAAAACTTGGAAATGTCTTGAATGTTTTGAAGAATGAACAATATTCCCATTAAGTGACCAGTTGTGTTATCTTTTAGCCGCCCCCCCCACACCTCCTGCCTCAGTTTACCCATGCTGTTTAGGCTGAGGTCCACCCTCCAGCCCATATTCTTTAACTGTGCTTCATTGATAGTTCAGAGGGAGAAGATAGGGTTGCTTAGTTTTTTGAGATGTTCTAGCCATAGTAGCAAAAAGATTTAGAACTCTTTCTTATTTAGTTTGGGTTGGGTTGTTTTTTGTTTTTGAATCAAAATCTTGCTATGTAGCTTAGAACTCATTGTCATGCTGATTCAGTCTTGTAAATGCAAGGATTATAAATCTGTCCACCATGTCCAGCTCAAACAGAGTTCTTGAGAGGAGTTTAGAGACTATACATAAGAAACTGTGCCATGCTTAAGAGTAGTAAGAAGAAATCCAAAGAACTTTTAGAATGTAATAGTAGGAAAATCTCAGAACAGGAACAGGAGAGTAAGAAGTAACTGAAAAGCAGGATGAAGCAGCAGTATCACTCAGATCAGCTTGTAGAAATTAATTGTAAAATTTAAGGTTCTTACTAAACTAATTGTTAGAGACTTCTTATTAAGTATTAAATTATATAAACTTAACAATCAGACAGGTTATGCTGAAAACAAAAAAAGCAGATACACACACAAAAAGCTTATTTCCTAGCTCCTACATAGCTGAGATATGCCAACTTATGTCTGTGTGGTGGACATCCTGCTTCAGAGACATCGTGTTAGAAGCTTGAAACCCATGTCTTACACCACAGAAACTCGTAAATCCTCAAACAAGACCATTCTCTGCATGTCAGGAAGGCTAATTAAGCATTTTCTAGCACACCATTGGAAAATAGAAATCAAGAAGTCTAATGGGTTAACAACAAAGCAGTTTGTAGCTAGTTTCGGTAGAAAGCTGTGTGACATCACCCAAGTGCAATGTACAGAGGAACAGAAAAATCGCAAGTGATGAACCCAGTATTCAGATAAAGTTGGGAATAATGAAGCTGAGTGGGTTGCTATTGATGATGTTGTTGTTTAATTGTGAAGCTTACAGAGTACGTTTGTCTTAATGTCTTTTATAACTCTCCAAAACACACTACACACATATTTATTTTCTAGTGAAACCTTCACTGTTAGAAAAGGAACTGGTTATTTCTAAACTACACCCCAGGAAATGCCACTGTCATATTTCACAATAAGACCATATTAGTTGTATGTTTGAGATAGATTCTTACTATTCAACTGTCTTAGTTTTTCAAAGAAATATTATCAAGAACAAATGTTGAATTAGTACTGTTTGGTGCTGGGGTGTAGGATCCAGGTCCTTGAACATATTAGGTTAAGAATTGTACCACTGAGATACATGCCCAGCCCAAAGGTACAATTGTATAGAGTACTGTTTTTGTATGTTTTGAGATAATCATATGGCTTGTTTTAAAACTGGTTTAATGCCATAACATGAATTTATCAATTTTTGGTATTAAATTGCCTTTGCTTTTCTGAGATAAGTGCAATTTGATCAAGTAGTTTATTTTTTAGCATATGATTAAATTAATTAGCTTTACTTCTAATTTTAAATTAATAACAATAACTAGAACTGATATTTTAGTGGGCTTTTGTTACATTAGTTTATATGTTTATATATGTGTGTATATGTATACATACACACATATGTGTGCCATATATATATATATATCTGTGGCATTGTACACATGGAGAAGGTTAGAGGACAACTTGTGGAAATTGGCTCTCTCCTTCCACTATAGAGATTCTAGGAATTGAACAGAAACTTCTCTATCCACTCAGCCATTTCAATAGCCCTTTTTTAATGTTTTCTTTTGCAGGGAGGGGGAAGTGTCAAACTTTTATATCAATATTATGGTAATTAAAAATTAATATGGTCAATGTAAAAGGTTTTACTCAAAATTTAAATATGACATCTCTTTCTGCAGCATTTTAATAGAACATCTGTAAAATTACATTTTGGGAGAGGTTTTGTTTTGTTTTGTTTCTTCAGCAGTGATAGACATTAAACCCAGAGGCTTTGGGGTGTTAGGCAACTGGTCCACCATTGAGTTATACCTGCAACCCTTTGGGGATATAATTCCTGGATAAGTTTTCAATGATTCAGGTTTTTTTCCCCCATCTCTTGGGTTCATTTTCATTGTTCATTTCATTTCAGGTCAATTAACCTGAATAAATTGCTCTTGGCCTGCATTTTTATCTACTATGATTCTAGCAGAAAGTCCTATTTCAGGATTTCGTATGTGAAGCAGTTGAATGGGTATGCAGAAACAGTCTGGCCTATTGAGAGCTTTGTGGAAGTGCAAGGTGCGATATCTTTCTTCACAGCCTGAGTGCCTCGGTTTTACAGATTTAAATAGATTGGCCATCCAGTGGATGTGAAGGAGCTCAATACATTCTGTCCTCAGACTGCCTTTCTCCTATGTCAGTAAGGCTAAGCTTCAGTGACACAGAACAGTCTGAGTGGACCCAGGGAGTGGAATGGGGTATGGAATACTGCCTGCCTCCAGAAGGTAGTAGGAGCTGGTCTTGTTTTCTGTCTGATCTAACTCTTAGGGTCTTGAGCCTTGAATAGATAGCAGTTTCTACATTTTTGTGTATTTTTTAAGAGAGAGAAAGGACATGAAGTTGGGTGGGGAAGGATTATGGAGGAATTATAGGATGGGAAGGAGTATGATCAAAATATATGTGTGAACATTTTTAAATAAAATAAATATACTTTCTTTTTGTCTAATCTTAATGAGAGCATATGTATTTAAGGAGGACCAGGCACAAGTGTCAAGGAAACTAATATTGGTTAATCTTAACCTGGCATCTTTAAATTTTTTTTTTGAGGTAGTGATTTTGTTCATTAGTTTATTGTTATTTTTCTTTTGTTTTCGTATTTTTGAAATTTTTATCTTATATGCTTTTTTTAAAGTCAGAGTAGTGATTTCTTATAGATAAAGCAGTTTTCCTTGTGTTGAACATGCTATTCGTAATAAGCAGTTTCTGTGTGGATGTCGTCTTCCCTGTTGACTAGCAAATTAGAGTGTTTATGCAAATCATTATGGTGGAGGTCAGCAGTCACAGCCAAAAGACAGAGTACAGGCAGAGAGTGCTGACAAATGAGCTCTTCCTGTAAAAGACTGTCCGGCTCCGAGAGCAGAACTGCAGTTTATTATTGATACTGAGATGCCGTTAAAACTCTCGCTTCCAAGCAACAGTACTACGCAGTGCTGGGAACACCATCAAGCAAAGCTCACTGACTGTAGTTCATACCAGAATGAGAAAACGTTCATCTTCATGATGTAACATTTTTACACCGTGCATCACGTAACAGAACAGTTTCTGTCAGTTCCAAGAAATCGGAAAAGCAGGCATTGGAGTCTTGTGTGTGTCGAGCGTGCAGAAGGTTGGGTCTGCAAGCTGGGCCTCCCGGGCCCTCCAGATAAGGCTCTTGGCACCGGATGCTGTTTTGTCTTTACTGAATGTCCTATTCTGGGCTCCCTGAGCATTTTAAGAGACAAGGATGTGAATCATTATTTAGACAATCTGCTCCCTGGACCTTCCTCTGAAAAGCCTGCTTAGCGTGGTGTATACTGCCTCTCCCATACTCAAGCAGGCTGGCCACTCTACTGTGACCTTAGACTTCTCAACTATGTAGCTTCCAGATGAAATCAAATTTCAGTAAACATCAGCTTTGCAATGTATAACTTTTATCAAACTTGCATCACCTCCCACCCCAGAAATGGATATGAAGAGCAGCTTCTGGTGTGGCTTTTATCAATAAGCCATATCCAGAGTTCCAGCCCCCTGTCTTTTGAGGTTGCTAATCCCTTTAAAGGTCTAGTTTTTTTCCTAAGTCTGGGTGGTGATATAGTTATTATTAATTTGATGTGTTAAATGGGTGCAATAAAAAAGTTTTGCATCATGATGATGATCTGACTGGTAAAGCAAGAGAAGTATATCAAAGTTCCTTCTGTCTCTTTTATGCAACTGTTCTGAGATTTTTTTTTCATCCTGCTTGATGCACAGCGAGTCGTTTGACAGTGTGCTGGTTATTTCTAGAGAATATAAAGCTTTATATGGGCAAGAGAAAGAAATACTGGAATGAAAATTAATGTGTATATTTGCATTTTGGCAACCTGAGTGGCCTAAGGATTTTGAGTACCAATGAAATTTTAAAATATTATTTATTTTTTAATTATTCAGATTTGAAAGAAGCTAACTGCGAACCACTGATATCCAAGAAAGACATTTTTTAAACAAGGACTACCCTTTACAGGTATGTACTTCAGAATTTATTATATTATATTTATATTTTAAACACTTCTATTTTTTCACTGCCTTTTATTTTCTTCTACATAATTTGCCTGTTAGTTGTAGTTTATAATAGCATACTTGTCTAAGACAAAACAAAGATATGAAAATGTCCTAGAAGTTGGGTACAGCACAAATCTTTAAAAATAACTCTCTAACCTCATATTCTTATACCCATGAAATGACTCCAAGTTATTTATTTTAGATTCTTATACTTATGATTAAAGTTAGGTAGCTATATCTTGTCTGGTCCTCATAGGCCATATATATGAAACATGTTTTTTTGAAGAGAATTGTAGACTTTAGCTTGTACCTACATGAAGGTACTTCTTCCTTGGTACTGGCTAGCATAAGGTATGGCTTCAGGGCCTATGGACAAAGTTCTGAGAAATCCATTATCCCTTCAAGACCTACTCTAGTGTGCTAAGGTAGTTCTTAGTCTGCAAGTGTGCCTTTTTGCCTGGAGATGTAAGTTACTTTGAAATTTTATGTGGTTTTAGGACTATTGATTATAGTCAACAAGGAAAGTCACAGGATGGCCCATTTTTCTGAAACCTGCAGATGTATTGAAAAAAGAACTGTCAGATAAATAATTTACAAATTAATGCAGATTGTGTGTGCATATGTGTCAGTGCATGTGTGCACTTTCCTTAGCTCTGTTCCCTGAAAGGACCAAGATAAGAGCCTCCTCAGAGCCCAGCAATGTTGGCACATGCCTTTAATCCCATCAGTCGAGAGGCATAGGCAGGCTGATCTCTGTGAGTTCAAGGCCAGCCTGGTCTACAAGAGTCTAGTTCCAGGACAGGCTCCAAAGCTACACAGAGAAACCCTGTCTCGAAAAACCAATAAAACAAAACAAAAAAGAGCCTCCTTAGTAGCAGACCAAACTATGGTGTCCAAATGCCATTTTCTCCCAAAAGAAAGTGGAGTTCTTTGTAGAAGAGGTTGGTTTGAAAGCTGAGGGAAAAACAGCCCAGAACAAGCCTGGAGGCCCGTTGGTGCCAGAAGCCAGGGTGTGCTCCAGAAGAGTCAGCGTAGCTGGAGACAGCCCAGTAGTCAAGCTGAGACAATTTGAGCAATAAAACTACTAACTGTGGAACTGCATTATAGCTCCCCAAGTGAAATATATGCTAGAGTTCTGACTGGGTAAGTGGATAAATGGAGACGGAGAGAATGGTGACTCTTCTTTACAGAACTTAGAAGTGAGGGCAATAGAAAGTTGTTGTCAGAGAACCATAGCAACCTTTGCTGCAGGTTGGATCCACCAATGAGCACTGACCTTAGTGGGTGGGTAAGAACTTAAGGAGAAACAGGATATTTGCACAGCTTCCAAATATTTCCCCCATGCGTGTTAATTACAAACGGGAACGAAGAGACTTACAGTGCAGAGTCCTGGCAGACACCAACCATACCAAACAGCCGAGGTCAGTATCAACAATAGTAATCTGTAGTGAGCTGTCTGGCCTGTGAGGTGTCCTGAGAGGGACACAGAACCTGTTTGGTGTTCTTCCCAAAATTCTGTAACCTCAGCTGAATCATGAGACAGCATTAGACATACCCTGAACAGAGACAACTTAAGAATACCTGAGCAACATGCTTCAACAGCATCAGAGGCATAAAAGACAGGCCAAGATGGGAACCAACACACACTTAAAAGAAGGCAAGGAGACATAGCAAGAGAGTGTGATGGATCCTGGAGCTGGAGAGGGACTAATAGTAGCGAGAAAACTGGAGAAGTCCAAATAAAGGGGCGAATATGACTATGTCAGCTTATTTTTGATAATTGTGCTAGGGTTTGAACATGTGAACTGTGGGGAAAGTTCCACAAGGTTGAGATCTGTCATCTTTTTATCTTTTCTGTAAGCCTTAAGTTAAATCATTTCCCAGTTATAAAATGTTTTAGTCATGATTTTATTTATTATTTATTTAATTTATTGCCATTTTGGGGATCAAATTCAGGGGCTTGAACGTCCTAGGTAAGCACTCTACCACTGTTACATCCTACCCTAACCACTGAATATGAAGATTCCAGCTTCACAAATATGCGCCTTTGCTGGGAACTCACTTTTAGCAAATGGTTTAATCCAGCTGGAAACAGGATAGGATGCAAATGTTAAAAGAAGAACCTCTCAAGGTTTGTTTTTGTTTCCCAAATCTCATCCATAAACTCTAGATCCCCACTCTATTGCCTAGAATCTTATATTTGAGCAGTGAGATGGGTGAAGACTGAGTGTTAGTAAGATTTTTGGGGAGTGCAGCTGAGAACAAGTAACACGAAGAGAGCTTAGATATCTAAAGGAAATCAACACAGCCTTGAGTTTGTTTTGAAAATTGATTTAACCTTAGAAAAGTATAAAGTGATTTAAAGCAGAGAGATGAAGCCCTTCAAAATGAGACAAATATGCACTTTGGCATCTGAAGGAATGATCTAAATTCAGTTATTTGGCATGGAAATTAAATGCTAAGTATTTGGAGTTTGACCCTGAATTTTTTTTTTTAAAAACTCGCTTGCATGTTTTTAAACCCAACTTAGTAAACTGCATCAGTTATCAGATTTTAGGTGAAAGGAAGCCTAGCAGAAGATGTTCCTAATGCAGCTAAGAGTCCTAGACAACAGAGTGAGGGCTGCTGAGGCTGGGGCAGGAGTGAGGCATGAGCGTGGAATGGGAACAATTTCCGTCTTACACTGAAAGGTTTCTGATGACGCCCACTCGCCATGGCAAATGTACTTTACCACCACTGAACTGACATTTTGGAGGGACTTAAAACACGTAAAAATAGCTAAAATGCTAAATTTATGTAATGTTACTATATTGGAAAAAAAGAAATTACAGAAGTCTTCAATAGTTACATTTCATTTCTTTGCTATGGTGCCTTTACCCTTGGGATCGTTTGTTTTTAAACCTAGGGATGATTTTCTGAACGTAATTTGCCCACTGGCAGTTTAAATGGCCCCTGTGCCATAAATTGTGGAGTTCAAAGAAAAACCCAATGAGTTGCCTGTGGGTTAATTTACAACTAAGGCAGATGAATCTATACAAAGAAGAAAAGCCCCCAAAAGAATTACGTTAACGATGGTGAGGGAGACAGTGTGTAGATAAAAGATATTTGAACTTGTTTGGTCCCAGTGATTTTATGACAGAGGAATTCAACTATAGCTGTACTGGGTAGAGCGAATCATAACTCCATAAATCGCTAATAAGACACAGCGATCTTTATCAGTTTCTCTGTGTGACACAGGCAGCATTGGGACGTGCTTTCTGTACACAGCTCTGCCTAGCTGCCCTCTATGCCTGAATTCAGAGCTTCGGGTTGAAACACAGATCATACATGGCATTGAAACCTTAAGGGTAGGCAAGTGCTATGTTTGCAGCAATATGTGAAGCTAACATAAATTACTTGTTATGTTAGAATTTTAGCTAATGGGTTTGTTTTGCTTTACTTTTTTCTTCTTTTTCTTAATTTGATTGTGTTGGGGATTAGACCCAGTGCTTCCCAAACTCTTAAGTACACACTTTACTACAGAGGTGCAGTCAAGGTTTATAGTAGTTTCTTTTCCTTTTTGTTTGTATTTTTAGACTCATTTTTAGTAATTTAATTACGCATAGGTATGCATGTGCATGTGGAAGCCAAAGGTGTTAGATACCCTGGAGCTGGAGTTATAGACAGTTGTGAGTTGCTTGATGTGGATGCTGGGAAATGAACTCTGGTGTTCTGGAAGTGCAGCAAATGCTCATAATCATTGAACCATATCTCTAGCCCTTTTGTTGTTCTATGAGACAGGACTTCGTGTACCCTAGACTGTTCTGGAATTCACTATATAGCTCAAACTGTCTTTACACTTGTGACAATTTTCTTGTCTCACCTCCAAAGTGCTAGGATTTCAGGCCACACTGTCCCCACTTATCATCTGTCTGTCTATCTGTCTGTCTGTCTGTCTGTCATTTATCTCACTCTCTGCTTCTCTCTCTTAAGAATGAGTCTCATCACAAGAGTTTCATACAAATATTCACTATACCTCTAACATATTCATTTGGCCCCTTTGTCCCTCTTATCATTTCATTCTAAACACTTTTATTCTTAGAAATCTATGAAAATGTATTTAAAATAAAAAATATCACAATCACACAAAAACTTTCTCCCATAATTTTGGAATACATTTTCCTCTTGTGTGTCCCACTTGGCTCATCTTACTCTGCTGCTGGGACATTTACATTTTCTCTAGTTTCTGCCTGATTACAGATGTGTTGTTATGCCAACAAGACTTTCCATTGTAGTGACTGTAGTGACGTTACCTAATTTACTAAGCCAGGTTTTAGGTGCTGTTTGGTTTTTGTTTGTTCGCTTGTTTTGATTTGGTTTTTGGATGAAATGACTGTTTATGCTATTATGTATCACAATTAGTTCTTGGCACATACTCCGTTTAATTTTCAAGGTTGTCTTCTTCAGTTAAGAGGAATCGTTAATGGAATTGCTTGGATAATTATATTGTTTTTGCTTCATTGGGGTACACTAGTAACAAATGAACAAGTTCAAATAACTTCTTTTTTGTTCTCCACCTCCCAAAAGTTAAGATTATAGAACTGTGTCTCATCATAACCAGCTTGTTTAAATGAATTAGCTCTTAAAGAGTTTACCAGTTATTTAGGAATAAAGTAACACAAGTGATTTTGTTGTTGTTTTTCTAAAAAACAAAACAAAAACCCAGTAGGGTTGGGATATAGCTGAAGTGGTAGAGTGGTTTCTCCTTTGCACAAGCACTTGAGCCCCATCCCTCGAAGTCAAACAAACAAACCAAACCTATCAACCAATAAAACCAACAATTGACTTTATAGCAAGGATTATTTCCTACAGAATATTTCCTGAGGCTATGTAGATTTAAATAAAATGTAACACAACATGTGCTGAAGACTAAATCTATGTACTGCTGACTAAGAGGAAGGAATAACAACTTCTGAGAATGTA